GAGTCAAAGTTAACCACGACACTTACATCTTTCCGCAATCAAATCAACACTCAACCACGACCTTTCCTTTAGAATTATCCTCTAAACTAATCAAATCTAGCTAAATATAGTTCAAATAATTCAAAATAAGCTTTAGGAATAACCTGTACACGGCCAAAATCAGAGAGTTCGACTTTGGGACTACTGTGGCACTCCACGCCCGACCTCGAGGAGCTCAAAGTGGAATTCGAAGGCGGACCCCGAGGTACTTCCCTCGAGGGGGCATATCGAAGGTCAATCTCGGAGCAACAAAAGTTGGTGATCGTCATGGAAAGGTGGGAAACCCCCGAGGGCACGCGATGAGGACTGATAGAGTCTGCAAGAATAGTAAAAACCCGTACTGAGCCGTTGTATAGCTGTACTAGTAGCATTTCTTCGTCATTGATTAGACATGTATTGTGTTGAGATTCACCCCTCCTAAATAAAGGTGACCCTTGTCATTTTGTAAGGGCGGATCGGATTATTACACAATATATTGAATACAATACAACATTCTCTACTCTTTGCTTAAACAATTGTTCTACACATTTATTGCTTATTCTTTCATTGTTTTTTTATTGTTCATTCAATGTTGTTCATTTATTGCTCATTATTAACCGCAAAAGGCCATCTTTGAGGCCTCATTATCATTGTTTCTTCCTCAATAAGCTCACCAACTGCCCTAAGCAAGCCCCGAAGCCCCCTACTCCGGCTAGCTCGAGGCTCGATTTTGTGACAACTTTGGTTTGCTTTCCTTATTCTCTTTATTTATACTTAGTATCTATTGCCTAACCACTAGTATTAAAATAAATCACATTTTTTTAGAACCACAAAATCAAATATAATTATCATTACCATTTTTAAGGTAAACAGTTTGGCGCCCACCTTCGGGCTAAAAATAATAGTGATTGTTTTGGTGCTAATTTTCCGAAAACACAAGTTATTCTTCACACTTTTTCTTGTCCAAGAATATCTGGTTTCAGGTAAAAATGTCTAACTCAGTAAATGCACGCGAAAACGACGGTATTGGGCTTCATGGAGAGAACGGTGCAGATGTCGGTGTACCACCGCAAAACCCAGGGGCGGCACCAGCACAAATCCCCATCGACGTGAGCTCACGCAACGCTGTGCATGTCGACGTAAGCTCTCATACCGACGGAAGTGTGCGCGGGGAAGAAAGAGACATTTGTCTTCAAGCCATTTTTGAGATGTTGCAAGAGCAACAAGTGGCTATTGCTCAGCTACAAATTCAACAAAAAACTCCAAGCACAACAATACCGGAAACGGCTCCTCGAGTCGAGCAGGCACCAGAAAGATCGAGTAACAACGGGTCAGCAGCAGACCCCGCTATTATGAAGATGCTCGAGGACCTCACCGAAAGGATCGAATCAGGAGAAAAGAAGATAGATGATAACAATAAAAAGGTGGAGACTTATAACACGAGGGTCGATTAGATCCCGGGCGCACCTCCGATCCTGAAGGGCGTAGATTCAAAGAAGTTCGTACAAAAACCATTCCTACCAAGCGCGGGTCCGAATCCCATCCAGAAGAAATTCAGGATGCCCGATATCCCGAAGTATAACGGGATCACGTACCCCAATGAGCACGTCAGCGCTTATACTTGTGCTGTAAAATGGAATGACTTAAAGGATGACGAGATTGAATCCGTCTTGCTAAAGAAATTTGGAGAGACACTGTCGAAGGGGGCCATGATGTGGTCTCACAACCTACCCTCGAACTCGATAGATTTATTTGCCATGTTGGTAGACTCTTTTGTGAGGGCACATGCTGGTGCCATCAAGGTCGCCACCAGGAAGTCCGAAGTCTTCAAAATCAAGCAGCGAGAAAACGAGATGCTAAGGGAATTTGTATTTCGATTTCAGATGGAGCGAATGGAATTATCGCCGGTCTGCGATGACTGGGCAGTGCAAGCCTTCACTCAAGGCTTGAACGAACAAAGCTCGGTAGCTTCGAAGCAACTAAAATAAAATTTGATCGAATATCCCGCCGTGACCTGGGCGGATGTGCACAACAGGTATCAATCGAAGATTAGGGTCAAAGACGACCAATTAGGAGCCCCTTCGGGCTCAGTATATCCTAGCAGGCTCTTAACAAAGGAACAAAGGTTTACAGAAATGGAGTCGAGACCAAACAAGAAAAGATACCGGCCTGACGTAGAAGATCGTAATGTGCCTCGAGGCGATCAAAGGACAGATCAGGGTCAAAATTCTCGGGGACTCATGAGTAAAGCCGGGTTCAATAGGCACACCAGGCCGGTAGAGGCACCCCGGCTATCCGAGTACAATTTTAACGTCGATGTCTTGGGCATCGTATCAGCCATAGGTAGAATCAAAGATACCAGGTGGTCAAAACCCATACTATCAGACCCTTCACAAAGGAACCCTAACTTGATATGCAAATATCACGGAACTCACGGTCATAGGAATGAGGACTGCATACAGCTTTGAGAAGAGGTAGCCCGTCTGATCAGCGAAGGGCATTTTCGAGAGTTCCTCAGCGACCGAGCTAAAAACCATTTTCGGGAAAGAGAGGCAAAGAGGAAGAATGAACCAAAAGAATCACGACATATCATCCACATGATCATTGGAGGGGCCGATTCCCCGCAGGGACCCGTTGTCAGACGAACGAAAATATCCATCACCAGGGAAAAGCGAACTCGGAGTTACATACCAGAGTATGCCCTCAGATTTAGCGAAGAGGACATCGATATCTTGTATCAGCCTCATAATGACGCATTGGTAATTTCTTTTCTTGTGAATAAATTTCAAATTAGACGTGTGCTCGTGGATCCAGGTAGCTCGGCCAACATAATCAGGTCGAGGGTGGTCGAGCAGCTAGGACTGCTCGACCAGATCGTACTTGCCTCTCGAGTCCTCAATGGACTCAACATGGCGAGCGAGACGACGAAAGGGGAGATCATCCTCCTGGTCAACGTGGCCGGTATAATCCAAGATACCAAATTCCATGTCATCGAAGGTGACATGAGATACAATGCCTTACTTGGAAGGCCATGGATACACAGTATGAGGACAATGCCATCAACCCTTCATCAAATGATGAAATTTCCAACCAAGGATGGAGTAAAAGCAATGTAGGGGAGCAGCATGCAGCGAGCGAGATGTTCGCGGTGCACAACATAGCACCGGCATCGACGCCCTCCACCTCGAAAGAGCATTTAGACAAACAAACAGCCAAGTAGCAACCGCAACCGACATTCTCGGCTGCACCCCAATGAGTGAATAAAGGACCATGCCGCCCTCGTAGCAAGCAATTGAAACACATCGAAACAATTGAAACACATCAAGGCTCAAACGCTATCATTGCTGAGGTACAACCCTCTCCCTTTTCATTTGCATTTTATACTAACCTATTGCAGGTATTCAATTGAAAGGAATCAAAGGACTCTCCAGCTCGAAGACCTTGGGTTTTAAAGCATGCGTTGCACTCTTTTTCCCTTACATCGAGTTTTATCCCGAACGGGTTTTACCGGCAAGGTTTTTAACGAGGCAACATCCATATGCTACGTAAGGAGAACTCATCAAGTATTCAAGACTTCTCTTCGATCAACCTTAAATACTGGGGAACATCACCCCAGGAGATCACCTCTCGGAAGAAATCGAACTATGCCTAGGAAGACCTCGATAGGAAAACGTTGTATTGGGCCAAACGGTCAAACGAACCCTGTCCATGTAGAATAATCGAGCCTCCAAAGGCAAAAAACATGTACGCATATATCAAGTAATTGAGGAAGCCTCTTTTCTTATCAACACTTTGTGCCTCGAAGAAATTCTCTACTATCACGAAATACGGCCCAAGAGCCAAAAACTCTCGAACACCTGAGGACTGTCATCAACAGTCAGCCCATCGAGCCACTGAAGACTCGAATTCGTAAGACCTCGATCAGGTAACTTCGAGCTCGTAAGCCCTCATTGAGACAACATCAAATCTGTAAGACCTAACAAGGCATGCTCATATTTATAAGACCTCAAAAAGGCATAACCCCGATATTAAGGCCAAGGCTATATATTAGAACTTGTAAGACCCCTAAAAAGGCATACCCTCAATATAGATGCCAAGGTCACCGCACACGGGGACTAAAGGCTACGACCAAACATATAGACTATGATCGAACTTAAAGGCTGCGGCCGAATTAACGTGGCTCGGAGACGTTCGACTGCAACCATAAAACTAAAGGCCTCCAAATACTTTGAAAATGCTTCGAAAAGAATTGGTTAATCAGGCTACCCTCAGCATAATCAAAGGAGCTTCAATAATATCAGCTCCGAACAATAAAAAAGGCTTCAAAAACAATCAGCCTTTGATGAAAAGGTTTCGAAAACTTAACCTTCGAGCAAGCCTCCCAAGGTACTCAGTTATCGTCACATATCGACTCATAATTAAGGTTCTCGTTTGAGCCGTCGAAGAGTCAGACGAACGTAAAACATGCCAAGGCATAATGAAAACTTCAAAAGTCTTTAGCCAAAATGAGGGAAAACTATAGCCGTATTAGAGGTCGCATCGACCCAATCTAAAAAGAGACTAAGGGCCAATGCGTAAGAGCCTAAGGGCTAGCCGAAAGAGCCTAAGGGCCAATATGTAAGAGCCTAAGGGCCAGCTGAAAGAGCCTAAGGGCCAATGCGTAAGAGCCTAAGGGCCAGCCTAAAGAGCCTAAGGGCCAATGCGTAAGAGCCTAAGGGCTAGCCTGAAGAGTCTAAGGGCCAATATGTTGAAAACCTACGGGTCAATTAGCCCGAGTCAAAATTTGACTCGAGGATCGAACACCGAACGATCAACTATTATCAACCATTCATCGAGCATGAAAACCTGAGGGGTTTATATCGTAAGTCCGACACACCGAACTGGTTATCGACAAGCATCGAAATTTATTCCAAAAAGGCAAAGGGAAAACAAGAAATGACGAAAAGCAAAAATCCATATATATATGATAAAGTTTCACGAAGATGTATTTACAAGGCTCACGCCTGGAGCCCTTATACAAAAAAGGAACAAATGAAAACCTAATCTACCGCCAGGGTTACTTGACCGGACGGAGCTCCCTCAGATGTGTGCCTTCAACGGCCTGGCCCTCGACCCCCAAAACATCGACGGCCTCCTCCCCCTCGGGGACTTCACCTTCGTCTTCATCATCCTCCGAGTTGCTGGTCGAATCACTGGCTGAACCATCATCGGAAGAAAGCAGAGTTGCCGATCCTTCCTCCAGGGCCTTCACCCTCTCGATCTCGGTAGAAAAATCGAAGCCCCCTGCATATACATCCTCGAGAGCCTATCTCCGAGATCTTAATCGGGCATGTTCCACGGCTCGGGACAGTTTAAGCTCGGCCTCTTCAGATACCTTCCTGGCTCGAGCATTTGCAGCAACCACATCTTTTTGGTATGAGGTTATGAGCGCAGCGGCTTCGGACTTAGCAGCAAATAGCTCAGCAACTTATTCAGCATGAAGATCTTTGTAGTCACGGCTTTCTCCCCTCGCCCCTTGAAGTTGGCACTCAACCAAGGTCAGCTTCTCTCGAAGAGTTTCTTTATCGGTAGACACCTCATCCACGCGCTACTTCAGCCCAAGGATTTTGGTATCTCTAACTTTGAGCTCCTCTCGCATTAGATCATCTTTTTGCTTGAGCTGAAAAAGTTAAATTAAGGTGTCAAGCGCTCAGTTGACTGAAGCGCAAAAATAAGCCCACGAAGGTCGTATTACTTGTTCATCGAGATCGGCCCGCTCTCGAGATATCCTCTCCAAATGAGCTCGAAGGTCACCTAGCTCCTCCTCCTTTTGGGCATGAAGGGCCTTAAGTTCCTAAATTCATCCTCATAACGTGCCAACTCAGCTTGTGACTTGGAAAAAGCTTGGTTGGAGAGCTTCACGGCCTAAACACACAGAAGAAGGGATTTGGAAAAGCAAGAATCGAAACTCAAAATACAATGGTCAAGTCAAGATTACCTATTGTCGAAGCTTCTCGACTTCTTCAAAGATCAATGAGGCGTCGATATCGGGGCCTTCCTCAACCCTGGCAAAATATCCTTCAAACATACTATTCTCTCCGGGGGTTGCCCCCACGGTGGGAGTTTTCATATCTTGGGCATCCTGTATTAGCCCAGGAGAGAATGATGGGCCCGACAGAGGCACATCTACGTTGATCACCTCGACTGGTTCGATGGGGCCCTCTCCCTCCTTCGAGGGGCTTCATCATTGGATTCTTCGGGTTCATCAACTAGGTGCCCCTCGACACCCGATGTGTTTTGGTCGTTGGTCGGCCCGGGAACTTCGTCTAAGCTCCCTTTAACAATTCCCTCAGTTCAGGTCGGGACCACCTCGGCGGCCTCTGTTCCAGCAGCCTCCAGCTTAGTCACCTACATCTCAGTATACTTCGAGGCAACAACACTTCTTCTCCCCCTAAGTGCCAGCGGACAGTCATCACTCTTCACCCTCGGCACAAAGATTTTCGGCCGCCTCCCGAGTTGAGGCCACTGAATCGGCCTCGAGCTTTTAAACTTTAGCCTTTTTCGGCCTCGAGGACTCATTTGGCGATTTCTTCTTTCTTTTTTTTCTCCTTAGCAGGCTTCGGGGTATCTGCTTCCCCAGGCGGGGGTTCCCTCATCAAAACGGCCTCTCCAAGGCATGCACAGGCACAGAGGATGAGAGTACTATAAAGAGATATCTTCTCTAAGGAGGCTCAAGTATGACAAAAATAAAAACTCACCGTGGTTTTTGGCATCGCAACGGGTCTTAGCCAGATCATGCCACACATGTTTAGCATATGGGTAGATCGAATCGAGTCGTCGAACCCAGCCCGAGAGATCCTTGATGGCACTGGGATACCACTCGGGAGCTGTATCATCGAAATGAGTTAATTCATTGGAAGGAGTTAATTTATCAAAAGGAGTTAATTCAAAGGCAAGAAAAGATGTCCGATTAGCAAAAAATATTCACTTACGATTCATATTCCATTACTCAGGGAACGACATTCTCTCGGCGGGGATCAGGTCCGATGTCCTGACTCGGAAGAAGCGGCTCATCCACCCTCGGTCATTGTCTTCATCAATGCTAGCAAAAAGGCCTTCGAGGATCGGCGTTTCAGCTTAATCAGGCCACCTCGATAAAGTCGGGGGCTATACAGTCTGATTAGATGGTCGAGGGTAAACGGCTTCCCCTCGACCATGCTTGAGAAATACCTAATCATATAAACGATGCGCCATAATGATGGATAGATTTGTCCAAGTGTCACATGATATTGGCTGCAGAAATCGAGGATCACTGGATCTATTGATGGTAAAGAGGCTTCTACCGGGCCTAAGGTGAAAGGATATGTGTATACACTGAGGAAACCAGCCTTGTTCTTGGTTATGTCTTCTTCTCGTGAAGGAATCTCTACTTGCACCGCCTCCCACCAACGGCAGTCGGCCTTCACCTTCTCGATTTTAGTTATTAAACTGATATATCAAGACATATGTTCGCATCGTCCCGGAACAGGTGAGGGGTTTTTGACCTGAAAATCAGAAGGTGTATCGCAAGGTCCGGGAGTACACTCCTCGATACTAGGAGGAACTACCGGTTTACCTTTGGTCGTTCGAGAAGACGATGAGGCTTTTTCCTTTTGAGGATCAGTTTTAGAAGTTTTAGCCATCTCTAAAGCAGAAAATCCAAGAAGATGGAAAATATTGTTAGAAAAGAGGGGAGAGTTCAAGGAAATTGAAAAGGGCTAAAGTGAAATTTCAGAAGCACTAAGAGAGTAATATCTGCAAGGTTATGAGATTTGTCTATTTATAAAGATCGTTTGAACGTTCTAAGGAAGCCAAAAGACCGACCGTCGGCCGCCTACAATTAATGCTTTTGGGAATCATACAAAAAGCAACCCTTCAGTCTCTTCAACCGCTTATGTCATGATGTTGACGTCAGGACCCAGGCATCGGGAACCAGATTATTGGAAATTATTAAAGAACAGTCTACAAGTCGGATTCGAGAAAACGCTCTCTCGATTATTTTAAGCCCAAGGGCTACCCGAGTTCGAGCCAGTTCTCACTCGGGGACTATTAACAAAGCCTCAGGGCTATCTTCATCTCAAGTTCGAGCAAACACTCTCTCGATTATTTTATGCCCAAGGCCTACTTGAGTTCGAGCCAGTTCTCACTCGGGGACTATTAACAAAGCCTCAGGGCTATCTTCATCTCAAGTTCGAGAAAACGCTCTCTCTATTATTTTAATCCCAAGGGCTACCCGAGTTATAGCCAGTTCTCACTCGGGGACTATTAACAAAGCCTCAGGGCTATCTTCATCTCAAGTTCGAGCAAACGTTCACTCGACTATTTAGCCCAAGGGCTACCCGTGTTCGAGCAGGCTCTCACTCGGGGGATATATATATATAAAGCCTTAGGTCTATCTTTATTTTCAAGTTCAAACAAATTTTCACTTAATTCGGGGCTACCCGAGTTCGAGCAGGCTTGTCGACGCCCCCTTTTTCTCGCGAAATCGGGTTTACGACATTTGGGAAGACAACTCTATTCCCGTTTGGTAATTGGGTTTTTGGATTTGAAGAGTTGTCACCTAATGATTAAGTGCATTAGGACACCACGAGTTTTGAGTTGGAAAATCAGAGTTCGGGTAAGGGCTAGAAATTATCTCGAGGGGAAGGTGTTAGGCACCCCTCAAGATCCACTAGTGTGGTTCCCGGCCATGCTATGTTGTGACTTTAAATACAAACGAGCATACAAATAATTCCACATAAAGATTGCAAGTAGGTATGTATAATGGCTGACAAGCATGTTTGACATTAAGATCTAGGTGGTCTCACAACTTGTTAAAGGATTGTCCAAGTGCAGAAAATTAAAAAGTGTGTGAACATAAATTTTAAAAGAATAGTGCAGGAAGTTGAGGAAGAATTTGGTGACTGAAACGAAAGACAGAGTTTTATTGATAATAACAAAGTTATATAAAGGAAAGGGGTCCTAGGTTTGTAAAATACATGGATCATCCACACAACACCGGTAGCCAATCGTACGCATGGTGTTATCGCGTGATCATCATCTCCATGTCTACCCTTCCCACCCCGTTAAGGTGTTAAGCGCGGAATGGTATCGTTACCTACTGCATGCTATTACCTGTCCCACCTATCAGTCCCGGAGGCATTTGGGACTACTAATCCTAAAGGGGAGGGAGCTTGGCTTTTCAGAGTTTAAAAGGATAAAAATCTAGGGCGACCGTCAAAATACATAATGCAATTAAAGGGGAACAAGTAGCAATTAAGGGCTCAAACATGCCTCCTCATTTTAAGAAACAAATTGTTTAGCATGTCTTACGCATACTTGATTTGGTCTGAATTAAATTAAAGCGTAGGATAGGTTGATTTACCACATATTTCCCAGATAGGGAGTCCGAATTAGTCCTGCTTAGATGTAGTTGTCGAAGACTGACATAGTTGATTAATTACTTAACCTTTTGCCTATGTGTTAAACGGGACCTATAGGCATGATATCTATTAATTCAGGGACGGAGGAATAAACTGATTGCAAAAAAAAGAATTGTTGGTTGTAAGCTCTGCGAGTGTTTAAACAATTACCACTAATTTTAGACTTAGGAGCGAGTGGGCGATTCAGATTTAGTTGATAGATCCTATAGGCATGCTTTCTAGGCGTTACTGATTTAATCGCTGTTATGTCATGCTAGAGATCCTATGGGGCAGTTTCATCTATATGCAATTGGTANTATGGGCAGGTCATCTATATGCAATTGGTTATTTTAAATCCAATAAGCAGATTTGCCTAGTGACAGATGCATATGCAAAATGCAGGAAGTCCTATAGGCATATTATCTATATGATATGCAGAGTTTCAGGAACGATTTATGGGCATGGTATTTATACGAAATGCAGAAAACCTATGAGCATGGTATCTATGTGAGATGCAGAGGTTTGAAAGTAGTAAGTTCTACAAACATACCATCTATATGAGATGCTGAATTTTGAAAGTAAATACCCTAAAACATGGTATCTACATGAGATGCTGAATTTTGAAAGTAAATATCCCTAAAACATGGTATCTACGTGAGATGCTGAATTTTTGAAAGTAAATATCCTAAAACATGGTATCTACCCCTTTGTATGCATTCAATCCCATCCCTTTCACTATACACCCCCAGTAGTTATTACAAAAATTATTACAGCCCAAATGGATCAGAGGAAAGAATAAAAATTATCAGTGATTACATCTACATCTAATCAGCCTAATCCAGACTCAGAGTCTAATAATATGAGATAAACCAACTTCCAGGATCGGATTTTCCAAAGCCTTCTCTTATTTGGGATGTGTCAAAGTTCCAAGGAACTTCAAGAGTTCCAGGCAATGCTTACACCCCAAATATCATTGCAGAAATCAGATTATAGTGCAGTGTGGAAGGGCCAGCCCTCAGATGTCCAAGTTCAGAGGGAACTCAAGGTCCCAAGGCAAGGCT